CCCCGCCGGGCGGCTCCTGAGGCGGGAGCTGCGGCTGCTCGAGTCCATCTTCCACCGGGGCCACGAGCGGTTCCGCATCGGCAGCGCCTGCCCCGACGAGATCAGCTGCGAGTTCGTCCCGGGGGCCGGAGCCCGCGCCGGTGCCTCCGGTTCCCGGGGGCCGCCGCCGGGGCCCGTCCGCATCCACTGCAACATCACGGTGAGGCCCGAGGGAGGGCACCGGCCCGCTGCGGCGGGGTGAGGGGGCACCGGCGGGAGCGGTCTTGGGACCGAGAGGCCACACCGACCCGCCTCGGGGAGCCGACCGAAGCGGGGACCGGGGCTGCCGGCCATTGGGCGACCGCGGCCCGTTGGAACTCGGCGGCGTTGCGGGGACCGGCCCGGCACGGCCCGGCCCATGCGCCTTGGGGCGAGCTGGGCCCGGGCCCCGCCGTCCCCCGGGGTGGCCGGGGCTGGCCGCGGGGCACGGGGGGGACTGAGGCCGGGCTCACGTGGCCACGGGGGGAGCTGCCTCTGGTCCCCCACCTTCCCCGGGACCCTGTGCGTGGGATGCAGCCCGCGCTCGGGCCCCGAGCTCCATGGAGCTTCCCTTACCAGGACAGCAAACCCCGGAGCCTTCATGTCCGACCGGTGGGCACAGGCAGCGCCGGGGGGAACATGGGCTGCTCTTGCTGTCCTGATGGCCCCTTCCTCCCCTGTGCGAGACTCTATGTGCACCCCTTTTCCCTGCTTTGCCCGGGGTTTTTTTGGGGGGGGGGGGGGGCTTCCCAGGTGGCCCTGACCGGTGGTGCCTGGAGGAGGGGGTAATTGTGGCCTCAGCATTGTCGGGCTCTTCGCATCTGCTGTGGCTCATCCTCACCTGGGTTTTAGGGGATCCTGATTGAGGGTAGGTTTGCAATGGGGCACAGATCCCATCTCTCGTGGTGAGTTACAGCTGGGGTTGCAGCTCCAGACGAGGAGTGGCAGAGTGTGGAAAGCCCCTGGTGCGGATGCTGAACAGGGCCGGTGTCAGTGATTTTCCAGAGGGGCAACTTGGGAGCATTGTCAAAGGCTGTCAGCAGCTTTGCCCTGGATTAAAGGTGCCTACTTGGCATCTGCCCCTGCGCGGGTGCTGTTGGGTCATGCACGCCTGATTCTTCTCCTGCAGCACTTCTGGTCCAGAGCTGGCAAGGCAAGAGGCCTGCAGGGCAGCATAAAACACCCAAGGGCCCTGGAGACCAAAGGGGTGGCCAAAGCGTCACCACCCTCCATCTTCCACCCCACTCCCTTGGGCTGGGGGGAAGTGGCACAGTGCTGAGCCACAACAGCGTGGTTGGAGCGAGGGTTTGTTTTGCCCTTGGCCTCGGCATTAGCCTGGAGGGTGGATGCAGTCACTTGTGGGCCGTTCTGCTGATCTCTGCAGTCTGGAGGGATGTGTTTGTGGGAGATGTGGGGCTGCAGCTCCCTGTCCTGCCTGGTTCGCTGCTCTGTTCCCTGCCAGCTGCGTTGGTGGGACAGAAGCAGTTGCAGCAGCACAAACATCACCTTCTCCTTCTCTCCAGGAGTCTTATCCAGCTGTTCCCCCGATATGGTCTGTGGAGTCGGACGATCCGAACCTGGCAGCTATCCTGGAGAGGCTGGTGGAAGTCAGGAAAGGAAACACGCTGGTGAGGGGACACTGCGTGGGGAGAGGGGAGAGGTGGGGAGAGGCTGGCTGCTTCGGGAGGGTAAAATCCTTGCTGCGTGCCTCCAACCACCTGAGGCAGGGGGTATGTCTGGTCTCATAAGGGTTCAGGAAATATGGGATGAGCGGTTCTGTCTTCTTTTGAATTTGATGCTGGGGTGTGATTTTTTTTTTTTCCCCCATGCCCACTGCTGCTTGGAGCAGGAAGGGGCAGCCTCTGGGCCTTTGCTCGCTCATTTGTGAGGGAAAGTGTGGCAGTTAAGCTGACGCTTAGCTTGGCGTATGGGTCTCTGCAATTCTCTGACGCTTGTCTCATTTCTGGACAGCTTTTGCAGCACCTGAAGCGAATAATCTCTGACCTGTGCAAACTCTACAACCTCCCCCAACATCCAGATGTTGAAATGCTGGACCAGCCTCTGCCGGCAGAACAGGTGAGTGACTCGGGAGGAGACTTTTTAAGCTCATAAAACGAGTTCCCTGGAGTTTGCTTTAGAGGCTGAGGCTTCCTAATCCCTGAAGGAGGAATGCAGCAGGCGAGGTGTTCATCTCTTCTCCCTGGGGTGGATTCCTGTCCTGGGTGATGCCATCCTGCTCTGTTGGGCCTCTGGTGTAGTTTCCTGTAAAGGTTCTTGGCTTCACTCTGCTTTTAACTTGGTTCTGCTTGTAAATCCCTGTTTAACCTTGCCTCAGAAGGGTCTGGGAAGGCGGGAGAGCCTTGCCACAGGAAGCTGACAGTGCAATCTTCGTCTCTGTCCTTTTGTCCCTGCAGAGCACACAGGAAGAGGTGTCCTCTGAAGAGGAAGATGAAGAGATGCCAGAGGTAAGTGCCGCCTCGCCGTATGAGGAAGTACACCGGAGAGCTGAGCACAGGGAGATGCCTGCTGAAAGGTGCGAGGGCACAGGGATTGTGTCTGGGAGGAGCTCGTGGAGTCCAGACAGGGAAGAGCCTGCTGTTTGGCTCGAAGGCTAGATTGTTCTTAGTGTTTTGCTGCTGGGGACCCAGGTCCTGAGCCATGGATGGGAGTGATGTGTTCACAAACCACAGGGGACCGCAGCAGCTGAGAGGCATAGCCATGGCCTCCAAAGGCATGCAGATAAGCTGAGAGTGGAGCCCCTTGGACAATTTCTCTCTCAGCTCACGCTGCTGTGCTCTAGAGCCTGAAATTTACACACGAGCGGTGGGATTTCCGGGTTGCCATTGCTGGCAGGGAAATCACACCATGAAAATGGAACTCCCACAGAGAGGATTAGGTAGGATGGCTGAGCATGTGAGCGAGCTAATTGGCAGGAGTGGCAGAGTCAACCATACTTCACTGCAGGCTGAGAATATCATGCTGCAAAACCCACAGGCTTTGGTTGTTTGGTTTGCGGTTTAGAGATCTCTAGAAGTGGGTGGAATAATCTTGAATCTCCATGGTGACGTTTAGTGATGCCTCGCACGCTTCTGGGGTGTGAGAGGCATGGGCACCAAGTCAGCAGCACTGCAGAATCTGGGGGCAGGTCACTTAGCAGCAGCATGCCTGGCAGTTGTTGGGGTTTTTGCAAAGTTAATAGCTTGCTAAATCAAGGATGTCGTTCACCATGGTCCCCAGAGAAAATGAGGAGGCTTAAACTGGTACCAGTGTAACCTTGCATATCTGCAAACTTGCTGCTTTGTGGCAAATTTGTGGTCTGTGAGTCCTCCCGCTCCTGTGGACTGGAAAGAAATCCTTGGAAACTGAGTGTTCCCGCTCATGCTTTCTGCTAACACCATGCATCGTTGTTCAGGGACAACGCTTTCACTTAGAGCAAAGGTTTCTTGCTGAGCAGTTGGATTTGCTGGGCTGTCAGAAGAGCAGAGCAGCAGAGCCGTGCCCTGGTGCGGAGATGCATTATGCAGGTTAATCCACTCGAGGGATTTTCTAGGAGGATCTATTCTCCTATGTGACAGTCTAAAAATGTCAAAGCCTTTCCAAAAATGCTGCTCATCCAGAATAGCAGTAGCTAGCTTGGAGAGGCCGAAGTAAACACTTGTTCAGAGGAATTAATACCAGCCCTGGAGCTGTGTGTACCCACAGCCATTTGCAGGCAGCTTCTGGGTAGCTGAACCCTGAGTGCAGTAGTCACTGTGCATGGCAAGAGATCTCTGCAGTGGCCCCCGATTGCTGCGACTGGTTTTTACTGGTTATTAACACTGGGGTCTTGTACACATCAGCCCGATGAGTGTTGTGGAAAGGGATGAGGGGCAGAGCCTCTGCTGGGTTTAGGGAGAGCGTCAGGGGTGTGCTGTGCAGGGCGGGGCTGAGCTGATTTACAAGGAGACTCCAGACACACTGTGAAACGTCACATCTTTTTGAGGGGAAAACATCCTGCGCCACTGAATTTTTTGTGTGAGGGTCTCCTTCACATGCCAGTGACCTGTGTTTGTGTTAGTTTTTTTGCTCATGAAGGGGAAACAACGCAGCCCAGCAGCACTGTGCCAAGTGTCTGCAAGTTGTTCCAGCCATCCAGAAATGTGGCACGGGGCTGTTTGAGCCACGTGCGTGCTGAGATTCAAGTGCCCTTCAATTGCATGGGGCTCATTGGGGAGCATATATAAGATTAATGGCTAATTATAAACAGGCGTGAGAGCTGGCAGGGAAGAATCCGGCAAACAAAGAGCCTGTATGAGCCCAATTTAATTCTGGAAGGGGAAGTGTGCCGCTCTGCCTGCTGGCTTTGTTATGGGAGGGCGGCAGGGGCCCAGTGGCTGAAGTTTGTTCACTGAGCATGCCCAGGCCTTGCGTCTTCTGCCACTTTTGTGCCTTGCATCAGGGCTTGGGACTTACTGTGGAGAGTTGAGACAACTGGAGAGTTGCACTGGGAATTCTTCCTGGTTTAGGGCAGCTTCTGTCCACAGTACTTCCAGCAGGGAGGAGTGAAGACTTGTCTCTACCAGTTCTCCTCTCCCTTTCCCAGGACACTGAGGACTTGGACCACTATGAGATGAAAGAGGAAGAGCCGGCAGATGGGAAGAAGACAGAGGACGAAGGCATTGGGAAGGAAAACCTGGCCATTTTAGAGAAAATAAAAAAGAACCAGAGGCAAGATTACTTAAATGTACGTGTCACCCGGCGGGATGGCGGGTTGGGGAAGCAGAGGGACCCAAGGGTGAGAGCGATGGAGGCACCTGCTAGCCCTAAATCAAAGGGGCTGTCTCTGGCCAAAGGTACAGCAGTGGCTCTCAGGGGCTGTCATGGCTGATGCAGAGAAGTCTGTGAACTGCC